TGTGGTGGTCTCAGCCCACGGATCTCTAACCCACCTGCAGCCCTGCAGGCGGGAAGGGCAGGAGATGGTGGGCGTCCAGAGGCGTGATTTCTCGGACTCGCTCTGCACTGTCCTGCTGCATGGCCTTGGTCAAGTTCCCGCCTCTTTCTGAGCTGTTGTTCCTCATTTACGAATGAGTGAGAGGGCAAGCGTTGTGGAAAAATCACTTGATTTTCAAGCCGTAAAAATACGAGGAGCTGTTTCTTGAAATGAGAGCGTACAAGGGAACGGAAGGTACGAACGGGCGCAAGAATTGATTGCCGCGTGGTTGAAATAGGGGCAGAAGGAGGGGTCCTGTAGGCACAGCCTCTGAGTTCTGTCACCCGTCCTCTTTGCCTCCCCTCCAGTCTCTTCCTCCCTCCCGCAAGCTCCCAAGATGCACATTTTGAAAACTGCCGACCAGCATGAATTCACCCGGCAGGATTGAGCCGGAGTCCCAGGGAGGGCTAGAGCATCAGCGGGTCCTTGAGGTGGTCTCCCGCAGCATGGAGAAGGTAGAGGGCAGATTGGCCTGCCCCTTCCTGACAGCGTGACATGGGAGTATAGGACATCAGGTCTTCCTGCCCAGACAGTGTTCATTCCTCCTTCTGGTAAAAGCGTCCAGTATTCGCTGGGGACCCATTCACTCTTGCTGCAGGCATGTGGTTTGGCTGTGCTTGGGCAGGGAGCACATGACTGGGGCCTGGGCAATCAGGTCATTCTGTCCCCCTTGCCATAGTCATTGATTTAGCAACGGGCAGCTGGACCCATCAGATGGCACCGGACCTAACCCTCATCCAAGGAAAAAGCTTGGATTTGACTTCAGGAAAATGTAAAAGGGTGGAGAGAGCCCATCTAAAAACAAAACCAGGGGGACCTGGGTGGCTCTGTTGGTTAGGCGTCCGACTTTGGCTCAGGTCATGATCTCAAGGTTTGTGAGTTCGAGCCCTGCATAAGGCTCTCTGCTGTCAGCATGCAGCCCGCTTCGGATCCTCTGTCCCCACCTCCCCCCCCCCGCCCCTCCCCTGCTCTTCTCTCTCTCTCTCAAAAATAAATAAACATTAAAGAAATATTAAAAAAATAAAAATGAACCCAATACAGGGAAAAGCAGAGCCAAAGAGCCAAAGAGAAGCAAATTCCTGAAGACTTCACTGAGGGCCTAGATCCAGCCGTGCCTGAAGCTAATAAAACTCTTTCTTCTCAGTTAAACAATCCAGTACACCTTGGATCTGGCTTAAGTCCATTTTAGATAGGAGCTTGTCATTTTGCAACTGAAACCTCAGGACCAACCGATACCCACAGGCAAGTTATTTATCCCCAGAAGTTTCGGTTTTCTTACCCCCTAAGTGTTTCTAAGAAGCTATAAACCTCACCTTTAAGCTGATCTATAAACACATATATCACAGCAGCAGCAGCAGCAGGACATTAGCAACAGTGGGCAGTCTTGAATATGTCTCAGTTCTAGGGAAAGCAAAGCAAAGACTGGTTAATATCAGTCCACTTTATTCTCTTAATAAGGGTGGGAGTAGGGGGAGCGACAGACAAATAAATGTCCATTACAAATGGGAATGAAGAAGGTCACACATTACCCGGAAAAAATGCCATGGGGAGTGCATGAGGCCCTGATTTTGGCTTTTTCAATTAGATGGGAGTGGTCTGCAGGGGGCTAAGGTTCCCACAATTCGGGAGGCGGGGCTGAGCCTGAGGGCAGCCCCCAGTTATATAAGCCCCCAGGCTCTTGAGGCTAGGGAAAATCTAGGGGAGCAGTTAAGCTGAATTTGTTTTACAGCAGAAGGTTCAGGTTCAGAGGCCTGAGCCCCACAGCTGTGGGTGAGCTCCTGGCAATCCATTGCAGTTCATAACCAACATCATGCATGTGGCCCAGTATTCCCTGGACAGACAGACTGGCCTTCTGTGGCTCCGGAGAGCTGTTCCCGGGGAATGCCTTCTCAGAACACCATTGTGGTCTGCTCAAGAACCCTTGAAATCGAAAGCCCCCAGCCCCCCTTGTCACAGCCATGGCACATAAATATCACCAGGGGGGATTTCCCACGGAATTTTTTGCAACCACTCAAATGTTTCATTTCCCATTGTTTGCCAGCCCCTCTTGGAACCTCAACTGTCAAAGCAGCAGCAAACACAGGCTGCTTTTCCCCCAGGATCCCACAGTACTTGATTGGTCGCATATGAATCGGCTCGGCCAGGGAATAAGGTCTGTTAGTCAACTAGTGAAGCAAGTCAGCAGAGGGAATACCCAGCTCTACCGAGAGCCCACCCTGCTGGGCAGGCAGAGCTCTGTGCTACCCCCGCCCCCGTTATTACTATAATCATGGTGACTAATAATTATATTTATAGAAAGAAATCCCTTCTACAAGTCCAGAGCACTTGACCGAAATATATGAGGCAGCTGTTAATTTTTTTGCTTTTTAAATACGAACCTGCATCATTTGTTCCCCTGACGTGGCATGGTTTAATGGAATTCTAAGTCGTATTCCATGCATCAGCGTATAGAAAAGATCATCTTTACTGATTGACTGAAAAGCATCTGTTTTCAGCAGCCACCTTGCTAGGCATTTTGGGGATGAGGTCTAGCTGCCTGTCCGTGAGGAGCCCATCATTTAGGGAAGCACAGAGATTTCAAGGCAATGTGGGATGCAAGGATGGTGGGAAGTTTGTCCAGGGGATGTTGGTGTGAGGGGTGAGTAGGAGCAGCCAGAAGGACGTGCGTGTGATCTGTCACCAGTGGGCATTGTCTGAATACGTGTAGTATGTATCACGCTGGGCACCCACACAAGGCTGGGCATGTGTAGAATAGCCTGATTCCGTGAGATCAGGAGTGGGAACTATTCCTTCACCAGGGCCCATCCCTTTCACAACAGTGATGAATTTATTTCTTTGCCCGTGATGAATTTCCTTCTTTCCTCGTGATGAATTTATTTAAGTAGCCATCCATCCGTCCATCCATCCATCCATCCATCCATCCATCCATCCATCCATTAATGCCACGAACATTTACTGATTCCTTTAGGATGTGCCAAATAGAAACTATATGCTGGGAACAGCCATTAAATGAATACACAAAATAATAAAGAAAGATACAACACGAGAGCAGTTGAAGACACCTGTGAGACCCTGCCTGTCCCTCATTACTGATCTCCTACTTTATGTGGAGTACTGCGAGTGCTACAAATTTGGGTCAACCCTTTATGCAGCAAAACCTCTAAGACCAACCAGAACTCCCCATGGGAAGAGGTGACCAGCGCATGCTCCAGGTTGCACGACCCCGTCTACACCCATGGACACCCTGGATCCCTGCCAGCAAGACCGGGGCAGATAGTTGAGAAGTTACTCTTCACTTCGCAAGGCAGGAATGCAAGGCTCGGAGAGGTGAAGGGACCAGCCTGCCTGAGGTCACACAGCTGGCGGGGCTGGGATTGCCATGCGTACTTTTACAATGATAGCGACGGAAGTAGAGCAAAAGTGATCATTTTATTTTCCCCAAACCACACTATGTGTCCCCCGCAGAGGAAACAAAAGTGCAAAACTCCACCTGGAAGGGAAACTTAAGATCTTGAGACAGCCGAGTCTCAGAAAGAAGAGGGCTGAGAGATTTTAACACAGGGCATGAATTCCAGCACATCTCTCTTCTAATGGGACCTCTCCTCCCTGCCTCCGGATGGGTGGGCCTTAGGCTGGTCAGAGCCGGATCTGAAGTCACCAGCACTAACATTTATCCACACCTCTGATATCTCAGACATCACAATGTTTCTGCCAGGAGTGTATTAAAACTCCCGTTTTCCAGATAAGGAGGGTGAATCCCCGGCCACACACAACTTAGGCAGTAGCAGACCCGGAATTCCAACGCTGGTCCCTCGGATCTGAGCCCCGGAACCTGTGGAGCGTCTGACACCCAGAGCTGCCTCCCCCCCAGGGGGCCCAGAAGCCCCCGCTGAAGGATGCTGGGGGAGCAGGCCTGGGGAGGCAGAGCCCAGGGCAGGGGCTGAGACTGCAGTGTCGCCCGCGCCGGGAACCCGGCCCGGCCCGCCCACTTTTTAACATGGTGGCATCCCTGACAGACACCCTTGTCCTTTTCCTGTGCTGGCCATCGTAACACAATAAATAAAGCCTTAGAGTAACGTGACCTGAGCCAGGCAGTAAATGATGGCACTGTCAGTTGTACGCGACTGTTGAAACAAACACAGACTGTAATCATCGCGCTGTACGGGGAGAAAGACATTTGGCAAATGAGATTCCATTTTCACATTGGTTTGTGCTGAGCATATAAATTTCCTGCGGGCCGGCCAGCGTTGGGGATGTGTAATTGATTGCCTGCATTATAATAAACAAGCCGTGACAGGTGATCATTCATCATATTCCGCTGAACGTTCCAGCACACCAGAAAACGGAGGAAGAGAGGGAACGCGCGAGCGAGGGGAGAGGAGAGGAGGAGTCTGGGGGAGGGGTGGGGATCGGAAAGACCGAGTATTCCCGACAGACAGAAAGCCAGGGAAGGGGCGGGGGAGAGCATCCGCAGAGCGGGCTCGGGGAAAGTGAAAGCAATTACTATAATTCTTTTGATTATCTAATTTGTTCTTTCTGGTCTTCGTCGTAGGACCCTCCACCCCCACTCCACCATAGAAGGTCCCCCTCGGGGACTTGGGAAGACACAGAGAATGCTCCTCCCAAGATCGAGGGGAGGAAGGGGAAAGGCGAGGTGGGGGAGGGGCCGCGTCTAGTTGTAACCGGAGTAGATACATTCGGGAAAACCTCGGGAGGAGGGGTGTGTGTGTGTGTGTGTGTGTGTGTGTGTGTGTGTGTGTGCGCGCGCGCGCGCGCGCCAGCACGCGCTGGACTCGGCTTCGCTTCTGCACTGCGATGCCTCCAATCAGATGGCTACGAACCAGTCTCTTTAAATAAAAAATTTTAGAGGGTGTTTGAAACACACACACACACACACACACACACACACACACACACACACACACAAGCGAAAAGTTCCTTTTATTGGAGAGAAGGACAGAACCCAAGTTGGCATGGGATCTGTTTCCAGAAGCCTGTCATATGGTGTGCTCTCTCTCCTCCCGCTGGTCCCCGCCCCAGCTTCTCTCCGTGCCCTTGGCCCGGGGTTGGGGGTCGAACAGGAGCCGTTGGGAAGCACCCTCCTCTCCAGGCGCGTCAACCTAGACAGACAAGAGGCGGAAGCACATTGGCATGTGAAGGACAGAAAGACAAATGAAGAACTCTGGAGCTGGGGCTTGCATTAAATAAGTATTTACATTATGCAAAGGCCCAGGCCCTCAACCAGGGGGTGAGTGAAGAGCGGGGACCGGAGGGGGAGCGATTAGTCTCCCCAATTCTCACCCTGTCAATTTCCAGCCCTCCCATCTTCGCCCATCAAATGCCCTCCATTCCCACCTGGGTACCAAATGCTTCGCGCAGGTGGGAGCCTCCAACCTAGGGAGCTGGGAGTTGAGGGGGCGTAGCCCGCGCTAACATCGGGGGCGGGGTCCGGGTGGGGCTTAGCTGGGGGCGGGGCTGCTCTGCAGGGGGCGGGGCAAGGGCAGAAGAAAGCCGGTAACGTTCTGGGGGGACTTTGCTTTTCATCTACGCTACGCCGCCCGCCGTTTCCTAGAGTCCTCTGCCTTTTTATCATAGCCTTAACAACTGTAATCTATTACGTTTGAGATTATAAAATCACCGCTTTTGGAGAATCTCTTCAAGGGACCTGCCTCCCCAAACTGTGACTTCAGCCCCAGCAGTGTGGGCTGCTTCCCTAGGTGATCTGTGTTCTTGGAAAGGTTAGCAGCTCATGTGGGTCTCCCAAGAATTCCAGAAGATTAGCTAGGGCAGGTGCTGTATATGCTTATCCCTTCCCGTCTCTACACAGCGATCTATAAAGTAGGCCTTAGGGTCCTGATTTTACAGGGGGAAAACCTGAAACACAAAGACATGAAGTTCTTTGCTCCAGGTCTGGCAGCGAGAAGAATAAAAAATTGAATCCAAGGGTCTTCTTCGCGCATGCTTCCCAGCATCCCTGCGAGGACACATACTTTCCTCCAAGCTCCATAAATAAGTGCACAAATGTATATGAGGGGACAGAGTAGGCCTATTTGGCGTGCCCTCAATAACGCTCTTGCTATATATCACTCGGATCTGCCCACTCTTCTCCACCAGCACTGTGCCCCCTGGTCCAAATCATCTGTCTCCAGGACCACTACCCCCCCCCACCAAGTGTTGCTCACTTCCATTCCTTCCCCACCTGCAGCCAGGATGGTCTATTGATTGTTCTCAGTATTAACACATTATCCAGCTCCCTCACCAGCTGGCTGGCCCTCCCTCCCTAGCTCCATATTATTATTATTATTATTACATACACATAACATAAAATTTACCTCTTAACCATTCTGAAGTGTGTGACTCAGTGACATTAAATAGATCCATATTGTTGTACATCCGTCAGAACTATTTACTCCAGAACATTTTCATCACCCCAAACCAAAACTCCTTACCCATTAGGGGTCACCCCCCATTCTGCCTCCCCTCCCCCCTCCCCTGCACCCCATTCTGCCCCACCTCTGGGCACCCATCTGCTTTCTGTCTCTACGGATTTGCTTATCCTGGACATTTCATATAAACAGAACGCTACCATCTGTGGCTTTTTATGACTTACTCTTTCCCTCAGCACCATGTTCTCAGTGCTTCATCCTTGGGTGTGTGGTTGAAGACTATTCCATTGCATGCGTATATCACCTTTTGTTTATCCGCTGGTGAACGTCAGGGTTGTTTCCAACCCTCGGCTCTTACGAATGGTGCCTCTCCAAAATTTGTGTACCAGTTTTTGTTTGAACATCTGCTTCTAATTTCAGGGGGCATACACTTCGGAATGGAAATGCCGGGTCGTGCGGTAATTCTGTTTAACCTGTCGAGTAAATGCCACACTGTTTTCCATTTTACATGCAACCGCGCCATTTTGCATTCTTCACTAGCAGAGCACTGGGGCTCCAGTTTTTCCAATTTCTTGCCGGCCCCTGCTGCTTTCTTTTTTTATTTTATTTTTCTTCTTCCTCCCATCCCAGTGGGCATCCTCACTCCATCTTTTAGGTCTCTTCCCTCACTTTTCAGCGCTGGCCCATCATACCCTCAAAGGTGCCACTGTCTCTTAAGAGGGGCCTTTGCGTATGCGGGTGACTTCTGCCTTCCCTTATCTCCAAGGCTAGATCTGACTCCCCTCTGAGGACACAGCCTTCCGTTTGTTGTCCCCCATTCCGTTGTAATTTTGCATCTCCTTGTGTGTTTACTGGTCAACGTCCACCTTCTCGGCTTGACCACAACCTCTCCCCAGGCCGGGACAGTTCTGCCTTTGCTGGCCAGTGCTTCCCCAGCACTCAGCACGGTCCCTCGGATATTCTAGGTTGCTCAGTAAATATATGGTGAGTGGAAGGATGAACAATGAATGAGATCTGAGCTTGGGTCCTATGTCCTTATGAATTTCTCTTTTCTGTTTTTCACTCTTCAGTGAGTAAGCAGGCCTCTGTAAGTCAGGGACTGAAAAACCCTGCTTTGTCCATAAGGCATCTGGAGACCGATGGGGTTCTGGCTACAGGAAGAGCACACAGTAACGTCTCCCTTCAGAGCCATAGCGACTCTGGCACGGGATTCTGAGTCTTGCTTGGGAATTGTGTTCAGTTCTGCCCTGTAGTGCTGCTGAAGGTTTAGGAACTTGAAATATATTTACTTGGTGTAAACATGACCTCAGCATGACGGGGTGATCCCTGTGTTTGCCAAGCCATTAATTTTTATGTAATAACAACGACCACAACAAACTGCATTTCCCCCCACATTCTGAGTTGTTCGTAAGGTCAGATCTGTGGGATTGTGCGAGACAAAAAAAAAAAACACACACACAAAAAACCTTATAAACTAGAATGTAGTGGTAAGTTCTCTGTGTTTACAGCTCCGCTCCTCCACACAGCTCCAAAGAGCTGAAAATTGAGGATTAAAAATTCATGCAGCTACTTTCTTCCAAGGAACTCCAAATGCTTCCGATGCTCTTGTTATCCTGTGAAGTCACGAGCGGTCAGATAACCCCATGCCCATCTCCAAGACAGGGAAACAGAGGTCCAGAGACCTGAAAGCGGCTTTACCAGG